AAATTCATTATAATATAATGATAGGTATCTTTAGATTCGATGATCAATCTTATTTATTATTTTATTAATGCCTACATAAAATTTGTATTCATATTCTTCAAAAAATAAACTTGAAAAATGAAATCGCAAAGGAGTTTTTAATTGCGATTTAAAAAATTTGTTGGTACCATTTTTTGTTTGCTTCCTTTTTTCTAATATCGGCTGCCAATCTAGCAAATTCGGCGCTTGCACCTCCTAAAGCACCAATTCTTTCATTTAATTCACCGAGTTTTTCTCCACGTTCATTAAGTGCCTCACCAGCATCGGCCAAAGCACTTCGTGCATCACCATTGACTTTTACATTAGGTTGTGCATCTGATTCTGTATCTGCTCTTTCTAATAATTGTTCTCGTTCAAGTTTATGAAGTTCATTTCTCTGAAGTTCATTTTTTTGAGGGTCAACATTCTGAAGTTCGTTTTTCGGAATGTCACGTGCAGTTACTTCAGGTGGAGGAACTCCTGAATACATTCGTCGGTCAAGTTCATCAAATTCTTGTTGAAGTTTTTCAATACAACGTGTGAAAAATTCTCGTAAATTGCCTCCTTTAACGACAGTTTTGAGTTTTTTATCCGAATTTGTAACTTCTTCCTCAATTTCATCGTTTGATTTAATATCACGTTCTGCTGGCTCTGGAATTTCTTCTTTTTCAATAATAACTGCTTCTTCAATTTTTTTATCGTTTTCTTCTTGAATTGGTGTCGTATTAATTGATACTTCATTTGGTTTATTATCAGGGGTTGCATTTTCTTCCGCTGAGATCGTGGTTGGAGGTTTCGCCACAGGAGATTGTGGTTGTGAAGTTTTTTTTGAACTCAACATTCTTTTGAGAACAAGTCCAACTGGGTTAAAGGACTTTTGTGGCGTTTGTGGGGTTTGTGGTGTTTGTGGTGATTGTATTGCTTGTGGTTCAGTGGTAATCTTGGGAGGAGTAGTTGGAGAGATAGAAAGGGGCGATGTGAATAAAGTGGAGTTTTCTGGGGCTTGTGGTACTAATGAGGGTTCTGGTGTAACATTGTTTTCAGTAGAAGGCGTTTCAACTGCGGAACCGAGAGGTACATTGTTGGAAGTTGCAGTACTATCAGAGTTATCAGAGTTTGTTGGTGCAGTAACAACACTTGCAACGTTCGTAGTAGGGCTTATGGGACTTGGAGGACTGACTTTGGATTGACTTGAATTCTTCCTCATTACGTTCCCTATTATTAAAAATGTCAATATGTATGTATATGTCGCTGACCCAAAAAAATAAATTTTAAAATTTTAAATATGGAAATATAACTCACACGTCTTTTC